AGGTTTTGACGAGAGGTTTCCAACGCTGCCGTTTGTTAGAACCCATTTTTTTGTTTTTCCCGGGGTTCTTTCCCTGTTTCCCCTTTTGGTTTGAAGGGGGGGGCCAGGGCCCCCCCCCCCCGTTTTTAAACTTTAATTTGAAGGGGGGGGCCCCTTTCCCGGCCATTCCGCCCGGGCATTTTTTTTGGGGTTTATTTGAAAGTATTTTAAAAGGGATTTCATTGTGGGGCCCGGGTTTTTTGTTTTGCCCCCCCTTTTTTCCCCCGAACCTCAACCTTCTTTCCCCGGGTTTTTTGGTTTTCACCCCCCCCCCCCCCCCCCGGAATATCCATACCCCGCTCACGAGGTGACGCCTTTACCTGCCCCTTTTTACCTACCAACCGCCCCTTTCCCCCCGACCCGTCGCCTTCTGCCAGATGACTCTCCTGACAGCGTTCTCGTTCCCGGCCCTGGCGGGGTCGGTGTTCGTGCTGGAGGGGATCCAGCAGTGGTTCATCGGCTCCACGGGGGCGGTGCCCGTCCGCATCCTGGTGCTGCTGGTGGCGATGCTGCTGTTCGTTCAGACCCCTCTCGTCTTCCTCGGGTCGTTTTACGGCTTCAAGAAGGAACAGCCGCCGCAGGTTTGTCGCACAACAGCAGTTCTTGTGTATGAAGATCATGACAGAAACGCCCTTTTCTTTCATTCTTTTTTTTTTTCCGCGTTCTTCTACGGCTCCAACGAGCAGAAGAAAGAGCAGCCGCTGTGGTTTGTTGCACAATGTTTTTCTTTATCAAAGCCGTAAAACGGGCTCTTTTTTTTCTTTGTAGATTTTCTACCTCGTCCTCGTACTGGTTCAGGAACAGCCGCGGCAGGTTTGTCGCACAACGGTTTTTGTCCATGAGAAGGCCATGAAAACGCCTTTTCAAGTTTTTTCGTCGGGTGTTGTGGACGGGTTTATACCTCGTTCTATGGGTTCAATTCAAGAGGTAGCAGCCGGTGCAGGTTTGTCGCACGACGGTTTGTCTACCAGGGGCTTACAATATATGTACATACAAGATTTGGTCACTTTTCATGCCTCGGCGTTACTTTCTCTCGCAGCAGCGAGTCTTTCATCGCGGTTCCTTCTCAGGGGCACGCAGGAGGGTCGTCGGTACATTGAAGCCCGTGCCCGGAGCTCGATAGGCCTCCGTGGCGCGTGTGGTTCCGTTTGATTGCACGCTCGTGGTTCCGAGCCACACCCAGTGGTAGAGGCGCATGTACAAAATGAGTCGGATAACGACCAGCAAAAGAGGTAGGGTACCTGTAGGACGGCCAAAGTTGCGAAAACTTGCTTAAAACCCCGGGGACGCGTTCCGCGCTGAGGAAGCCTGTCGAACCAATTCTGAAACCTATCAAACCTATCAAATGCGACGGTTTGAAATATTTGCCTCTTGCTTCTCCACTTTCATTCGCATTCATTCATTCATTCATTCATTCATTCGATGATTCATGGCTGGCTGTGACTCTTCGTGTCATCGCGTTGTCCAACAACAGCAGTACCTACGTTTACTGCACTTCGCAGCGGGCCAAGTGTAGACAAGTCTGAGAGCATGCATCCAGCCGCAGTGTTGAACATGTCCCATTTGTGGTGTTGTTTCGGCTTCAAATTTGGGTTTCATCGGAAATTTGCCATCATCAATCAAAGACGTCATGGAAGTCGGAGTTTACGTGCGCGATGTTTTGTGCGGAAATACACGCGTTGTAAGACACACAGTCCCTCTTCGGGCAATGCGCATGTGGCCTTGCGTCACCTGAGGGAGGGTAGACACCCACGTCCCGAAGGGAGACCTTGTAGCCACTGTTTTTTCAGGAAATTTTCGTACAATCACGGAAAGACTAATGTAGGCGTATCACAGTTAGTCGAGGGGAATGCGTTGGTTGCACTTTTTGTTTCGGAGGCTCGCCCGTGCGGCGATGAAAATCTTAACGTCTCCGCAAGGCCTTCAAGGAGGGAAAATCTCCTTCAAATTTTATTGCTCGTTTCGTTTGCTTTCCCCCCCCGCAAGGTGCAAGGTGTAAGGTGCAAGGTATGAATGTAGCGAATGAGAATTTCGGTTCACAGTCGTGTTTGATATGTTCCCTTATTTCAGGTGCCAGTACCCGCTTCTTGTTGCGTTCGTCGTTCATATATTGCCTTCCATGCCTTATAACGGCAAGGATGATTCATGTTTCTTTTCTCGGTGGTGTCTCAACTCAAAGGTTTAGTGGTTACAACGACTTGGCGTGTTTTTCACTTGGTTACAATCCACACACTCGAGCACGATTGGCGCGACTCTTGCTCCTCAAACTCTCCCCCCATCTTCCCCTCACATCTCATGTTCGTTTGTCTTCCTATCACCTCTGCCGGTGTGTTTTGTCCCTTTTTTTACTGTTTGTCAGGTGGTAAGAACGAACCAGATCCCCCGCATGATCCCCCAGACGCCATGGTACGTCGACCCCAAGGTGAGCGTTACATATCTGCGACAATCGTATTTCGACTCGTTTTCGTAGACTCTTCTTCGGAACATGTTCGCGCAACAGCACATTTAGGACAAATAATATCGGCCGTCGGAGATGAAACTTGTGTTTCTGTGGCAAAGGGCCGCACAGCAAGAGTGAAGAAGAGTAAGAAAGACTCCCTGTGCGGCCTTCGTCCGATGCCGCCAAGGTGGTGTGACAATCGGCGGTTTAAGCGTATGGAGATATGGCACGCACATGCGCATGTAAATCACCGACTCTTCGATTCGTGGTTTTTCCCTGCTACAAAAGGAGTTCTGTATGAACGGACTTGTAGAAGTATATATTCTTTCTCTACAGCATTGCGTAACACTAACCTTGGTTTTTCCCTTCCGTCTTGGCTGCGGTCAGGTGGCCGTTCCCTTCGCAGGCGTGCTGCCCTTCGGGGCCGTGCTGGTGGAGCTGGTGTTCGTCATGACGGCCATGTGGGAGCAGCAGCTATACTACATCTTCGGGTTCTTGATGTCCGTCATGCTTATCCTCACCGTTACCTGCGCCGAGATCAGCATCGTGATGTGCTACTTCCAGCTCTGCTCCGAGGACTACCGCTGGTGCGCGTTGAACAATCAAACGATCACAGCAAGTTTTCGTTTATTCATGTGTAGGGAACAAGATATAAGGCGCCATCGGGAACAACGTACGTCCAACGGAGAGACAATTTTTATTCTTCCGACAGACGATTTTGCTCTTGAACAGACACCGATTACGAGCGGTTTTGGGTGTCATCGAGTGCCAACCGACAAGAATCTCCCCAGATGCCGGTTGCTTCGTCAATCATCCAGTTTCGCAAGGGAAAGGGCATTTGAGGCCCGTAGCCGACTCCATCGACCGCTCAACCCCTTTATCGTGGCCCGGTGACTTTCTCTCTCCCTATCTCGTCTTGTTCCTCTCCTCTTATCTCACTCTCGTTGTCTCATCTTGTACATGCGTTTTTTTGTTTTTTTTCAGGTGGTGGCGCTCACTGCTGTGGTCCGGGTCGTGCGCAGGCTGGATGTTCATCTACTCTGTTGGGTACTACTTCACCGTGCTTAACATGAGCGGGGTGAGTTGTTGCAATGCTGTCGTCGTCGTCCTCGTCCTCGTCCTCGTCCTCGTCCTCGTCCTCGTCCTCGTCGTTCTCTGCATACAGAAATAACGTTTCGTTTTCCGTTGGTCGTTGAAGCAGATCGGTTTCCCGCATCGTTCGTCCTCTGTGAATGCTTGAAACGTGGCCGATTGCGCCGCATCAACCTGGGATTGATATCCTTGCGCATGTACAGCCTCACACTTGAGGTGCCCGTCTACACTCACCGATACTGTCGATTCAGTCTGGATGATGACCTCGTGGAGGTAGTTCTGTGTTAAGCCGCGCACGCGAGCTCCACCAGACCTCAAATTCGCCTAACCTTCCGCCGGAATGTGTTAACTTTGCACAACCCAACCCTCACCCTATCCCTCAAAATGGCTCAACGCACCGTGGCCCACACGGATGTGTGTACAATGTTCCGGTTCATTCCGGCAACAATCCACCAAACGCACGTTGGTGTGTTGGCATCATTTTCTGTCTTTGGTGATTGCACTGAAACAGTGGATGGCAGCATCGCTGTTCTTCGGCTACACGTTCGTGATGACGTCGTGCTTCTTCCTGTTGACGGGTACCGTGGGATACTTCTCCTGCCAGTGGTTCATTAACGTCATCTATTCCTCCATCAAGGCAAGTCATACCTGCAGTCGGTTGTTTTGTATGCATCGGGTGTCACGTTTATTTCACAGTTTTTTTGCGACGTGCCTTGATGGGTCTACATGTCTACATATGTATCCCGTCGTAGTTCGTGAGCAGTGACAAGTTGGCCTCTGGTCGTTGCTCCCTAAAGTAAGGCAGTCGGCGATTTTGCTTGGGAGACAAGTGAAAAGGAAAAGTGATGTACCGCTCGGAGACTTGGGCAGCGTATGCCACGGAATTTCACTTGCAAATAGTGTAACGGGAGTGAACTTAAAATTAGTGTAGCGGGATTTCACTTGCCCATGATGTAGGGGGTCACCTGGAATGAGGGCATGATGTCACCGGTCTTGCGACGGACGCAGAACAGATGATCGGCAGAAATGCGAAACTGATTCGGGGGGCATTTCCACTTGCAGGCGTTTGTTGTCGTTTTTTTCGAGTTCTACTCGATTTTTTTCTTTTGCCTTTAGGAAACGATTCATGCCGAGTCCTGTACCTTAAACTCATGGACACAGCGGCGGTATCTCAGTCGCCTACACGGTTGTATGCATGGATTGGATCCAGGGCTATGTTCGGTTCAGGGCGTCTGTCACAGCGGTTGATTTATAAACACGAAATCAGCAGTCAAGCCGCACGCCGCACAATTAAAAAATCCATAAAACCAACAACCCTAGACACTTCAAGATATGAGTTTTGACGAAACCATCACTTCTCCGGCATTTAATACATACCGCAAAAATACCGCACAAATATACCAATACGCCACGATCGTGAAAGAGAATCATGAGCTTGGAAATACGTGAAAGAGAATCATGAGCTTTGAAAGAGTTCCGTTGTCCGCTCAAGTATCCTATCCGGCAACCTGCAAGACCTATGCCCGTCTTTGGTGATGACCCCCTTCCCGCCTACCCGCCTCCGCGCCGTGCACCCCGCTCGTCGCACCAGGTGGACTAATTTTACCTTTTGAGGGGAGTTGCCGTTACGAAACGGGATGGTTTCTGTTGCGATTTGGTCCGGCAGCACCCGCTAGTGGTCTGGGCGCGCGGGTGTAATTTGTTTCAATGTGTTTTCAATTTTGGCGCTCTGTATGCGTATGAACTGCAGCGGTTTGTTGGGGGCGCTTAGTCCGAGGAGGGGTATTCCTTTCAACCACGCGAGATCTACAAAATCTTGGTTCCTTGAAGCCCCCTTGGCTGACGCATGGGCTACCTCGTATGCTTGGGCTTTTGGTTGGGCGGAAGATTGCTCCTTTGGAATGCGGCGAAATTTGGTATGCCCTCTCCGCGTTGTGGGCGGTGTAGCTGTGAGGCCTCCCTATACCGGCTTTGATTTTCGTCGGAGGTTGTTTTTCTTTTGGTGCCGCCGCCGTCGGTTCTGGTTCCTCAGTCGTCGGTGTAGTGTTTGCGACGTCGGTTGTCGGTTCGGTCTATCTACCCTTGGCGTTGCTCAGCACGGTGCGGTATATAGAGTCGAAAGAAGCCAGACGAAAACGACGAGGGCTGTAGCCTGCAGCGATACAAGAGCGGCCTTCGAAGGCAGAAAGAAGAGAAGAGAATCGGAGGGAATGGACGCTTGGTGACGTCAGAGGGGGAGTGAAGAAGGGCGGGCCAATCAGAGTTGAACAGGACCTGCCGGCAGTACGCTAGGCGTGCCTACAAGTGCAGGGATAGCTTGCGGAAGTATGGAGCTCTCGTAACGATTGGCTCCATCAAAATGCGTGTTCAAGCAGGCGGAAGGTACGATGATTTTGTGTGCTTGGTTTTTGGCGCTACCTTTACTCTCCACTCCCAGCGCCTCGCGCGTTAGGGTTGCAGTTGGTACGGTGGACTTGCGACACGGCGGGGCTCCCATTTCCGTGCTTCTCTCCTCTACTGAACATCCGGTTTTGCATCTGCGGGGCAGGCGCGCCTATGTACAACGCGCACCATTTCGGGTGATTTCGTGTCTTGTGCGGAGGGAGGAAAATGCGATCGCTCAACTGCTGGAGGTCGGAAAGTTAGCTTCTCAACTCGCGGAGAGTCGCACTCGCGAAGAGTCGCAAGTAAGCACGACGCCGAGCGGTTGAGTCCTTTGTTTGCGCCGTCGAGGAGGGGGTCTGCTTTCCGTCATGCTTGGCCGTAGCGTCGTGGCTGGCATTCAGTCGACCCTCGCACCCCTTTGGCGTCGGACTATTTTTTTCCTTCGGAACTTTTGGACCACAACAGGGTGTTTGCATGGGGGGGGCGGATCTGCACCAGGCACATGTAGTGCCCGATGGTTTTGGGGGGGGGCAGCTAGAGCAGAATGTGGGTTGCAGCCCCATGAGATGTTTGCCACCGCAGTGGATAACTAAAATCGTTGTTGTGTGTCTGGAAAAAAACGAAAAAGAAAGGAAACATTTTTAGTCCGACCAATGTCGATTCGGGATCTCTAGTTTAGTGTTTTGGGATGGTGGTGGGGGGTGCCATATTTTTTTTCTCCCGCGGGCCGGCACCTGGGATGGTGGCGCGGGTGGCGGTTCTTCTCTCCGAGCAGGGTGTAGGTCAAATCGGAAACGCAATGAGCGCGACGGTTCTTGGTCTGTTCTGTACGGTATGCATGATGGGTTCTCCGTGGAGGTTGTGGTGACGGTGTGGACAAGGTGTAGCCGACAACCGCAGGCACAGGGTTCTGAAACGGGTAAAGCGGTTTTGGTCCCTTCCGGGGGGGCTTTTGGTGCAGACCTGCAAGTAGGCACCGACGATGTCGCACATGAGCTGAGCTGGTCTCTTGTTAACACCGTCTTCAGCCTTGACTGCGACAGCGGTAGGCCAACAGGTAAACCAAGGCACTCAATGCCGTGGAGTGTTTTGTGGGGCCGTTTTCGTAAAACGGGATCACGGAAGGGAGGGTAATGCTATTTCCACCGAAATGGTAGGAAATAATGCACACAACTCTCCCCGTACTTGTCAGCGGCTGTTGGAATAGTTATATGAGGGTTAGAAATATTTCCGCGGCTCTCTGCGTGTGTCTTTCTTAGGAGCATGTCAATGTGCCCTATCGTTTTTCTTTTTTCATTGTGATGTCCCCTTTTCTCCTTCTCGTCCTTCTTGTTCGAAGAAAACATGTAGCTGTAGCTGTCGCTTCGTCTGAGATCTGACATATACGGTCGGTTGAGGGGCAAATATTGCCTCTGCTTGATAGCCCACCGCGCTCGCTGAAAGTAGAAAAACGTCCAACAGCTTGGGAAAATAATCTGTGGTTGGTACCGTTTGTTTGCGATGCACGGACAGCGTTGAACTTCAGAGCGGAAATGGAAGATGCCAAACATGTTGGAATGAAGAATGAACTGTCGGTAACCAGCGCATGGAAGAACATCCAATCTTTGGAATGAAGTGTGTACCACTTTACTCTGAATGTACACCTCTTTCAAGACGGCGGGCCAAAATCCCGTACGTCCTCGTCACGCCGTCACCAAGCCCACACAGACCCGTACACGGCCCATTCTAAGGAGTTACACAAATGCTCCGTGCGTGAGGCTTGTTGCCCAGATACACAGCAGCACAGCCTTTCCCCGTCGTCCTGGCACCCGCCTCAGGCTCGGTCGGGACGATCACCAACGCGCCTTGCCAACCCGTCCTTGCCTGTCTCTGCCATTCATCGCCCGGGCTCGCCTCCATTGGGGCTTCAGCACCGCCGATCCCACCCCTTCTACCCCTAGCAAATTCACTCCAACACACTTGCCCAACGTTCTACCCGGAGAACATTCACTCCAACACACCTGCATGGCTGTACCCAACGTGGCCCCTGGCAGTACTCACCCCTTGCTCGGTCGCTCTCCCGTCATACACCCGATATCGCTCCTCACCTCGCCGACATCTTGCCTGACCCCATATTATGCCGCGTTTCCTCGTTCGGAGGTATTTGCAAAGGATCCAACCCTCCGGGGCAAACTCATTCTACTCCTTTTTCGAACCTATGCATACTCATGATGGCCGACAAGCCGGACTAGGCAAATTCCAGTGCAGTCTACAATATGCACGTACAAACAACCAGAGGGACAGCTTAGCACTACGTAGACTACAGTACTCGTTCTAGCAAGCGCCCTTCGCGAGCGATGGAGGTTTTCGCCGATTGAACGCTCGTCGGTTCAACTCCCTGTTGCAGAATAGTCCAAACATCCATTCTCACTCTTCTCTGTGTGCCGCCCAATCAACACATGAACACCAGAACTCACACAAACAAATCACAACCAACGGCAAGAACCACAGATTAGGCGAGTTCCGTACAGACTTATCGCAGGATCAGGTTGAAGCCATGTTCGTTTCGATAGCACACCCTTTTCCGGTCTTGCCTCAGGCTGAAAAAGCAGTACTTGACGGGGACACGTTGTTTCAAAGCCGCTATAAATAGCGTCATTCGTGTTTGCGCTGCTCAGACTCTACATGAAAAAGAAGGTTGCGCAGTGAAATAGGTTGCCCTATTCACGCATGGCGGTATACCCTCTGCGGCTGCGATGTCGAAACAGTTTCACATTTATTTATATCGCAGCCAGTGTTGGCCACCGCCGCTATCCTTCGGCATGATTACGTATACTACTGTAGTTCGTAGTCCCCCCTCGTGCTCTTGAGCGTAACGTTATCCTGCTACCTCTTCGTCTCCTCGTTGACATTTTATGAGGGGTACGTGGGGCAATTCTTCGAGACTCTGGTTTCCATAGAATAGACGAATGCTACCTTGCAATACGCAGGCGTTACAAAATGAGAATAGACGTCAGTTTGTTGGGGTCACTAGATTCATTCTTGCTTCTCCACAAGCCGGAAGCGCTATTACGCAAGGCACCCACTCGCGCGCGTTTTCAAGCGCTCTTCTTGTATCACACATCGAGTGCCGAAACACGTCTACTGTAGTCGTGTGCCATCGTGCGGATGCCATGGGCAAGGAAGGTCTGTTGGTGACGGGAATTCGTCGAACGAACGATCTACCGAAGCTCCCATACGGTGCTAGTGTACTTGTCACAGTGGTTATCACGCTATTGCGTAAGGTAGTTCACTCATGTGTTAGCGTAACAAGCACTGGCCAGGGTTCAATTAGTTTCTTCCATTTCATGGTCAGGTTCATCCATTTCATGGTCACGTTCATGGTCTCTTACCATTTAAGTCAAGGGGGGACTAACAAGGGGGGACTAATCAAGGAGGGGCTAGCAAGGGGGGTCTACCTCCTGCATTGACTCACAACTGGTTGCTGCTTAGCGATGTGGGTCAAAGTTCCTCTTCCGAGATTGGCCGTGTTAACAGTGAGCGATCACCCAAAACACGTGTTGAGGCGGAGCTCTAGAGGGGCTCCGCCAATGATTCAGGTACACCCGGGGGTATACCCTAGCCCTCCTCAAACCATCGTGAAATGGAATGATTCTCAGTATTTAGCGCCCGTTCATGCTACCGTGACACCCCCCCAGCATATATGTGTTGAAAAACACAAAATGCTAAGGAGGTAGCAGAACGTGCTCTTCTCCCTCCTCAGATCAAACCACGCCGGGAATATAGATCTGAAAAGGGAGGATGCCGCCCTCCCCCAGGTTAAACCACAAAAAATGGATTTTAACCTCGAGAGGACGGATGCCGGTGTGTTCGACGTCGATGTTACATTGCTGAAATCATCGACCCCGAATGACGGCCGTTAGTACTTTGGCCGGCGTATACCGGACTCCTTGACGATGACGATCTTGGACTGAAGAAGGCGATCGTCCACTGAAGAAGGTGATCTTCCACTGTTGAAGACGTTCTTCCACAAACAGTCTCCACAGACCGACGACTATGACGATGATCTTGCATCTTGACCGACGATCACCGACTGTTGAGGACGATCTTCCGCTGTAGAAGACGATCTTGGAACTCCTCAGGTGATCTTCCACTGTTGAAGATGTTCTTCCACCAACAGTCTCCACAGACCCACGACTATGACGACTATCTTGCATCTTGACCGACGATCACCGACTGTTGAGGACGATCTTCCGCTGTAGAAGACGATCTTGCAACTCCTCATTCGTGACACTGCCGTCACACCCCCCCCAGCTTCCCGCATGGAGGACGGAAGATGGCAGGCAGTGTTCGTGTCAGCATGTCGAGTGTTCGAGCAAAAAAGACAGTACGACACGTTGAGGTGATTCATGGCGTGAACGCGCGCCTCGTCCACAGACACCTCGCGCAGTCATGCAAGGTCCCGTGAAGTGTTGCCAGGGGAAAAAAGTGTTGACACGCACGACGCGGCTGCAACGGATGCTCCGAAGTAGTAGTCTCTTCTTGGGCCCATCCGCTCCCAGCTGGCCTTGACGTTTTGGCCAAGAACGTGTGCCGATCTTGGATTCTTCGTGGCGCAACCATCTGGTGATGACCATACTTTCGCCGTTTCCGGGGCAAGTATAGGTGAGTGTATAAAGTGTACGACGAGTGGTGCTGAAGTAACAGAGACCCTCGCTAGTCTGGTTTGATAGGCCGCCGGGAGTGTCTGGTGCAGAACAATTCCCAGCAACGATTACTTTGCGGAGGAATACTCCACACATGTACATTGTTTCCTACATATAGCCAATGGTCTTACATGTACAATTTACGCGCTGGATGTGAGACATCATCGAAGGACGTCTACAACTTTCACACATCCGATGAATCTTCTGTCTATATGACAACGACGAAAGAACGTCGGCATGCCTGCTGGATGTATGTACGATACGGAATATTGACGCTCGCTGACAGGAAATTCCTCGTCTTCAAGCCAGAGATATGTTTTGCACCGTGGGGCCCCATGAAACATCAAACATCGATGGTGTGTTTGTTTCATTCTACGGCCTGTAGACCACATTAGAACGAACGTGAGCCTGGAGATACACAGAACACGGAGGGAGAGAATGTGCACAGACAAATGAGGCAGTCGACTTCGCTGCGAAAACCTTTCGTTAGGCGACATCAAGCGATGGAACAAAATTGTTTGTGCGCGTGGTGAACGATTGATCTCGGCGAATATCTACTGTACGCAGTAGTATGTGACAAAGGTTATTTGGCCGGTCACTTTGCGGGGTTTTATTTCGGTACAGCCACATGGTTTGAATTGCACGGACTCAGGTTTGAGTCAGACGCAAGGTATCGACTAGCGCGGAGCTAGGGCGGAGGCGCGATTGCATGATGAATCAAAGCGCCAGGCGATAGATGCGGTGTGGCGAGGAGCGGTGATGGTGGCAGTCATTCAGGTGAGTCGAAATGAAACTGTTTTGGGGTTGGGAGCAAGGGATCGGTGTTAGCAAGCCAGGACGGAGGCGCGTTCGCGTGATGGATGGGAATACCGGGCAACGGATGTTCTGCGGCGAGGAGCGGTAGTGGAAGTAGTCACACA